CTTCCTTCCTTCCTTCCTTCCTTCCTTCCTTCCTTCCTCTCCCTCCTGTATTGATCACTAAATCCTCCTTAGTCTTCCCTATCTCACCCAGCCACACATTCTGCCCTGGCCTGTGAGGTCCGACAGTCTCTGTCCTCTGCTCACCTCTCTGCATTTTCTCCCTCAGTGTCCCCTTGCTCCTTTTCCTCTATCTAGGTCTCTCTGTCATCCTTAAGCCCATCATGTGCACTAACTTCTTCATGTGCACTAACTTCTCAGGAACTTTGACTGTGGTACCTGTAATTATGTACCAGTATCACATATGTGGCTGGGGCAATGTCACAGGGGGCTTATTGGGGTGGACTTCCTAGAGGAGGCAGCTGAGGTTGAGTTTTTTTTTTTTTTCCGGAACTGAGGATTGAACTCAGGACCTTGTGCTTGCCAGGCAAGCACTTATTCTACAGAGCTATCTCCCCAGCCCCATGAGGTTGAGTTTTGAAGGAGTAAGAACTATCCAGATCAGAGGATGTGGTGGGATGGGTGTGGGTGAGAAGGGTGTTCAGGCTGAGGAATCCTGTGTGCCAGGGCTGAGGGCAGAGTCCTGGGCCCTTGCTGTGCAGTGGCAGGTGGCTCAGCAGCACTCATATCTGGCTGTCCAGTGCTTTGCACTTGCTGTGATGCTTTGAGAAGGTGGTGTTATCTCTCTGTGCCTCCATTTCCTTGCCTATAAAGTGGGAAGAAGAGAGCTGTGGGCTGTCAGGAGGATACTTCCTTTAAAACACACACAATACTGGGCATGGTGGCGCGTGCCTGCAATCCCAGTGCTTAGGAGACTGAAAACAGGAGGATCACTATGAGTTCAATCTGTGTAGTGAGACCCTGTACTAAATTAAAAAAAAGAAAAAAAAAACCCTTCGTTTTAGGCCGGTGGTATAGCTCAGTGGACTAAGTACTTGCTTAGGTAAGCGCAGGGGCCGGGGTTCAATCCCTGGTGCCACATGCCACACCGGCTACAAACAAACAAAACAAAAAACACATAGCACAGGGCGTATGGTCTACTCAGTCAGTGCCTAGCCACTGTCAGCTCTGTTTTAGGAAAGGCCCTGAGTGCCAAGAAAGTGTGGAGCCCTCTGAAGACTGGTGCAGGGCAGAGGTGCAGTCAGCCCACCACCAGAGGAGCCCCTGGGCTGCTGTGTGGAGCGAGTCCAGGAAGGCATGTAGGAGGCCACTCCAGACCAGGTGGAGGCTGGTGTGGGCTTCTGCAGGGAGGAGCTGGAGCTGGGGCTGGGGTGGCTGCACAGAGGGGCCTAGGCACTGCCCAGTGGACGTGAAGGTAGCTATGGGGCCCCAGCCTCAGCTGGCTCTGGAGTCTTGGCAGGTGTTTCTTTGCTGTCCTGTAATGTGGGCAGGGCACTCATGCCAAGACGCTGCAGGGGTGGGGGTGCCCCAGGGAGGCTGCTCTGAACTTTTCAAAGCTCAGTAACCATCACTAACCATTGGACTGACCAGTAGCCTGCATCAAGTTAGTGGGTGAAAGCAGAGGATGTGGGCTTCAGTTTTGCTCAGACACAGGGATCCACCTTGGGCCTCCTGTGGAGGCCTCCAGCCAGGCTTTGCAGGGAGCTCCCCAGGTTCTAATCTTGTAACAGGCTGGCTCAGCCATTACTCACTGGGTACTGGGGAAAACACGAGCCACCTGCTTTGTGTCTCCACAAAACTAAAGCGGCTCACTTGTCTGGAACTCTAATCTGTTTAGCGCTGATAGAACCGTGAGAAACCATAGCTGGGAAGGACTGAGGAGGATGGATGTGCATTCACTTCCCTGGTGCCAGGGAAGACTGGCTTGGCCTCAAGAGAGGCACCTGGGCCTGAGCTCAGGGCATTTACCAAGGCTCTGTGGGCACCAGTTTTCTCTCCATATAGGAGAAATAATGACATTTGCCTGTCACTGTTGGCAAGAAGGCTGAGTTCAATATACAAATCCAGGGCCCTGAGCACGCAGCTCCCTGGTCATTCACTGAAGGTTCATCTGTGCATGAATCAATGTTGCTCTATAAGTGATAGTAGCTATGAGGATGGGGGTTCCAACAGAGCGAGCCTGGACCCAGCTGCCCACTGCAAACAGGACAGGGGCAGCTCACTGCCCCAGAAGGGCCTCTGTAACTGGCAAGCAGTGGCTGAGGGAATAGTTTGGGAGGCACAGGACAGTAGAGGCTCAATAAGTGGTAAGTAGAGTAATTCATAGCAGGCAATGATGGGGGACCCTTGTGTGTTTCTGGGGCAAGGACCCCACTCTGGACTATAGGTGGAACTCGGGCTCATGGACTGGGAGCTTGGGATGCCCTGAACATGTGAGCAAATAAGGCAGTGCACTCTGAGATTAGAGGCCTTGGGTTAGAGGGCCAGGGTGGGAAGGGCATGGGTGGGGATTTGGGACCTCATATTTCCATGTGGGAGATGCACACTGTGCCACTGGGGTGGCCTTGGGTCTTCACATTTGGCTTCCAAAAGATTGACTATGAAGGGGCCAGCCAAATAGCTCAGTGGATTAAAGTGCCTGCAAGCAGACACAGATGCTTGGGATTTGATCCTGGGTCTGCCATGCTGGTCCCACCCCAGGGGTACACTGAGACAGAGATTGAGCCTGTGCATGGTGGCACGTGCCTGTAATCCCAGCACTTGGGAGGCTGTAAACAGGCGGATCACTACGAGTCCGATCTAGTGAGACCCTGTACACCCTGTAGACCCTTCCCTAAAAAGAAAAAGAAAAAGGATTGACTATGAAGAGACAACTTGTAATAAATTCTTATAAAGCACCCACCTGCCAAGTACTTCAGAGGGTTTACTGTGTGGTGGCCAGGGCTTAAGGGAACAAGGTGAATAAAGTTTGTGTCCTGGGGGAGACAGCATTCTAGTGGGGGGAGTAATGCCCATGACCACCAAAGAGACAGACATCAGATAAGGGGAAAGCACAGGCTCCAGTGATTGCTGTGAGCAAGGCTAGGAAGCCATGCTAGATACAGTGACCAGCAAATGCCTCTCTGGCCGTGTGACACTTAACTCATTTACTACAAGAAAAAATGAGTCACGTGGAAGTCTGCGGTCAGGATGGCAGGCAGGAACAGAAGGTGTAAGCCCCTGAGGTCGGTGTGAGGAGCACAGGGGAGCACTGCAGAGACCAGCTGTGGCTCTGCCTTGGTGGAGCAGTATGTAGGCTCCCAGCGGACTCTGAAGGGAGAGATGCAGGTCCCAGGAGGACAGGAAGAGCAGCATCTCACCCAGCCTCAAAGGTCAGCAGAAGCTGCCCAGCAGAGGTGATTGCTAATCCTGGCCTGAAGTGGCAGGGAAAGGAAGGGTTTTCCTGGCAAAAGGAGCAGCAGGTGCAAAGCCCCAGGGCTGAGGCAGAACCTGGTACATTCATTAAAAGAAATTGTAAACAGCCGCTGCGGTTGGAGCTTAGAGCTGAAGCACTGATGTGCTGGGATGGGACAGCGTGTTCCTGCCATGGAGGCAGAAGGCCAGGCCTGATTCCACACTGTGGATACCACTGTGGAAGGGGTATGATGACAAGGGCACCTGAGGCTGGGGTCAAGGAGGACCTGGCAGTGGGGGGCTACATGGAGAGGGAGTGAAGGCTGAGGTGGATGGCAGCATTAGGAGGGAGTGGAAAGTGTAGGAGACTTCACAACGTGTGGTTCAGTGGCAGATTACTTGTGTAGCATGCAAGAGGCCCTGGACTAAACCCTTATTACTGCAAAAAAGAAAAAAAGCATAGAACAGACCAGCCTGTGACACCCTGGGGAAGGGGGGTGGGTGGGGAGTGGAAATCAGGCAACAGACGTCTTGAAGAACCCACAGTGGCCACGTATCTTTGGGCTTAGAGGGTGGTCAGAGTGGGATGTGAGGTCAGACAGACAGATAAAGTCCTGCTGCCCTCTCACACTCAGTACAATCACTGTCCCTGCCTATGCCACAGGGTCCCCACTCATTAAGTGAAACTGGCCCAGCCCACCTCGTAGAGCTGGCACACCTTCTGAGTGTGGACGTGTGCAAAAGCTCCTGGCATTCTGCTCTTGTCAGTTTCTGCCTGCGGCCTGGGCCTTAACACCTGTGTCCCCTCTGCCTCCTCAGCTACAGAATGGGATGGAGGGTGCTTTTCCTGCGGTGTCCCTGGCAGGAGCAAAAAAGATGGCTTTCCAAGTCCAGGGCCCCTGCTGCAGAATGTGGGCAGCTCTCACGCTCCTCTTCTCCCTCCCCTGCAGGAAAAGCCAAGAGGATGACGTGGCAGAGGTTGGTGCTGGCTGCCTGCATGCTGGTGCTGCCCCCTGCCACAGCAGAATGCCTGGCCCCATGCTCCTTGTGTGCTGTGAAGACCCAGGATGGGCCCAACCCTGTCAATCCCCTGGTAGGTTTCAGAGATGTTTCTTCAATGCCCCGTCATTCTGTGCATGAAGACCGGCCCTGGAGAGGGGCAATCACAGGGTAGCTTGTCCTGTGTTCATCCCACTGTACAGGACTTGTCTAGTCCTGTGGACCTCACCAGCTGGGGCTCCTGTGGGCCAGAACAGACATGAGATGCAGGTTTCTAGGGAGCCAGGTGCCTGGCAACACGAGTGTCAGTCACAAGGGCTGGCTTTGCAGTCAGCAGCTGTAGATGAACTTTTCAAGGCTTCTCATCCTGGGGCTGATGGGCCCCTTCAAATCCAGTTACTCCCACAGAAAGAGCTAGCTCCATCATCCCAAGGCCAGCTAAGGTGGACAGGTTCCAGGCCTTGGCCTTACCCCACAGACCTAGCTCCTCTGAAGCTCCTTGTGCCTCTCTTGTGGCAGAAGGAAGGCTGGAGTAGAGGTGGCAGGGCTGTGGTGAGCAGCACACGGGCCTTGGTTCTCACCTGTCTGGCCCCCTGACTCTGGAACCCCCTCTTCTGAGCCTCAGTCTTCTCATCTGCTTGCTTGGGGTGATGCTCTGAGAGGATGGCAAGTGTTGGAAATGGGCTTCTTGCCTGTCTATTTGAGGATGTGTAGTGTGAGAGAGGCTTCCTCCTCAAGACCTCAGGAAAGCATCGTGGCTGAGCAGGAAAGGTCTTGGCATTAGACTGACAGGCTCAGGTTCCAGTAGTGTCACTATTGTCACCACTGTTGTAGGCACTGTCCTGACCAAATCCCCCCACAGCCCTGTGGAGAATGTCTTATTGTCCCCTCAGTGAGGCTTCATGCCATCTCCTGCACCCCCTCAAACATACTCTTTCTGCCATTCTGCATTGCTCTGTCCATGCCTGCTAAGTGCTAGTAGTGCCCTTGACCCCTGGCAAAGGTGAAGAGAGGAGGAAGGGTGACTCCACAGAGCCCGTGGGGAGCTCAGACCTCCAATGCTGGCATTGCTGCCCTTGGGAAAGTCTGCTTCTCCTCCTTCACCAGGGCACAAAGGCACCTAACTGTATGCACTGGGAGCATGACATGGGTAGCCAAGTGCTTAACAAGCTGGTGCCCTTTGATTTTCCTGGGCCTGGGCCAGGGCTCTGGGACGGGGGTGAGGGGGTGTCTTGATGCTTTGTCAGGAGTGATATCACCCATGTGGTCTTATCTTTGGGGTCTTTTGCAGATCTGTGCCCTGGAATGCCAGGAAACCCTGATGCCCTCTGAGGAGTGGGAGCGATGCCAGGGCATCCTGTCCTTCTTCACCCCTTCTGCCCTGAGCCTCAGGGGCCCAAATGGCCTGAACAGCAGGGTAGCTTTGGAAGAGGCCTATGGGGAGCTGGCCAAGCGTGCCAGGCCCTTCCTGCAGGAGCTGGAGAAAAGCGGACTCCTCTCTAGCTCCCCCACAAAGGACAAGCTCAGGGGTCTCCCTGGTAGGCTCAGGGAGGGCATGGAGCCCGAGGCAATGGGGGCTTCCCAGCTGATTAGTGGTACACTTGATTTCAATGAGGGCCTCAAGGAGCAAGTCAAACGCTATGGGGGTTTTCTGAGAAAATATCCCAAGAGGAGCTCAGAAGTGGCCGGGGATGGGGATGGGGATGGGGAAAGTGTGGGCCATGAAGACCTGTACAAACGCTACGGGGGCTTCTTGCGGCGCATCCGTCCCAAGCTCAAGTGGGACAACCAGAAGCGCTATGGCGGTTTTCTCAGGCGCCAGTTCAAGGTGGTGACGCGGTCAGAGGAAGACCCCAATGCCTACTCCGAAGAGCTTTTTGATGTTTAAACATGCCTCCATCCTGCAGCCGAGTGAAGAGATTCTTCTGATGTTGTCCCATGTGAGAGCATACTCACTCCCCTCCGTGTGTACCCTGTCCCCGCACCCAGCTCATTACCATCTGCACAATATCCAACCCCCGCTCACCTCTCTGCTATCCTGAGTGCACTAGTTGCCTGGGGTTGGTGACAGGAAGGTGTGGAGGTCCCCCTTTACTGGGGTCAGCACTGGGCTCACACCCCTGCACTTCTAAGCTACCACCAGTCGTAGCTGCTTTGGATATCAGTCCTCCCACTCTGTTCAGTGACTTCCCAACTACTGAAGTCCGGAGTAAATTGTTCTTTTTCCCTTAGACCTACAATGGTCAAGCTTTGCAGATCATATGCCCCTCTCAGAAGAAAAATGAGCACACCCATACAAGTAGTATGCATATGTACCATAAACCTGCACAGAGTAGAGATTTAAAACAAGAGAGATACGCATAACTGGAAATCTCAACAATGTATTTTCAAGCCCAGAGATCTCCTTATGCCCCCCTCTGTGGAGACCACACATTCACTGAAAAGCTTGAATGTAGCTTTTTACTGGAGCAGGAATTCTTACACTGGAGAGGCCAGTCTCTGGTAGGTTAAGTGTTCAGTCTGACCACTCTGAGTTCCCATCATTTAGAAGTACATCTCTTGAGGAACTGAGCTGCTGAACGCATGCTCATGTTGGTACCCTTGGCTGTGCCCACCTCGCAGAAGAGGAAGGGAGTGGAGACTCCTCCTTGGTGACAGAGAGCTCTTCTGTCTGCTCAGATGATCGCAGAGGGAGCAAAGCAAACCATTTGTTCTGTGCAACAAGCTCCGAATGTGGACCAGTTCCCCCGGCCCTCGTTAAGCTAATTAAGCCGATTGGTATCACACTTCTAACCCCCTGACGAACTGAAGCAGTTGAGTTGATGAGGTTAAACACAACCAGGTTCTTGAGCAGCTGAGCTGGCTGCCAGGAGCCCCACCATCTGGCCCAGCATATGCCCTGGGCACCGGATCAGGGAGTCCAGAGGCGGCAGGAAAGAGACAGTGCCCTCCTCAGCCCTGTGACAGTTCTTCTCTCTTCATGCCTCTAGATAAAATGGGAAAGGTGAATAAAATGATTTAGTGTTGAAGGCAAGTGAGTTCCCTTGATTCAGATAACCCAGAATCAGAGGCAAAGACCTGAAACCTTGGTTTCCAAGTTCCTTCTCTCCCTCTCTCATCCCCAGGCACTGTTTGCATTGTGGGACCAGGAGATGGGCTGAATAGGAGAAGAGACAGACCCAAGTTTGGATAATTTGTATAAGGTGCTCTGAGCACACCTCTTCCAGCCTAGTTCCTGGGTCTCTCTTTCTGAAATGTATAGATTGTTCTAAGTTTGCTTTGTATGCTTTTTAAAAGTTCCATTTATGCAATTTATTTGAAATTTGCTTAGTCTATAACAGGCCTGTGTAATTTCCTGCTCTTCTAGTATAATAAAAGACGCTAATGATGGTGTGTGTGTGTGTGTGTGTGTGTGTGTGTGTGTGTGTCTGTATACACTCAAGCCTCAGTTCTCAGAAGGACCATTGGCAGAAATGTGTGCTAGGGAGTGAACCTAGTTAGCTAACTAGCTTAAAATGGAAAGCTGGATCTGTGTGATCTTGAGTGGCTCACTGACCTCTCTGACCCGAGTTCTGTCTTCTGCAACACTGGTGCCAACTTTGGAGGGCTGGCTGTGAGGGTTAGATGAGATCACAGAGGCTAGCAAGGTAAGTCTGAGCACTGCCTTCCCTACGCTGCCTCAGGGCACTGCAGAGCTGGGCACTCAGCACCGCAGAGAGGGTGGGCAGAGGTGCCACACTGGGAGCCTGTGTTAGGGCTGTCTCAATGCAGGAAAACGAGGGAGAAGGAAGAGATGTTCCTAAAAAGTGTGAGTGTGCTGAGGATGAGCACTTGATTGACAAGGTGGCAAAAATGTCCCCTACTATCATGACAGCCTTCACTGAATTGTATGGAGATGTCTTTAAATAGGAGTATTGAAGTGACTCAGTGACTGCAAATCTCACCTGTTCCATCAGGACATTTGTTTCCTTAGGGACTGCCCACAAAACACAGGGTCAGGTCGCTCTCACTCATTCAATGAAGTGTTACCTGCAGGCCTGGTAATGTAGGAAGTTATGCCCAAACAAAACAAGCAAGGTCTCTGTTCTTGTGGGATGTACAGCTTTGTGGGAGAGAAAAATAAGCACATGAAAATATAGAGTTAAATTTAAAACAGTATAAAGCAAAGAGCTGAGAACCAGGTGTGATGGTGCATGCGTGTAATCTCAGCATCGTGGAGGCTGATGCAGGAGGGTTGAAAATTCGACTGGGCAATTCAATGACTTAGCAAGAACCTAGGTCAAAAAAATTGTTTTCAGAAAGGGCTGGCAACATAGCTCAGTGGGAAGGCCCTAGGACTGAAAAAAAGGAATGGAAGGGGATGGGAGAGGAAGAAGGCCAAGCACTGGGATGTGGAGGTAGAGGACAGCATGTGTAGGGAAAGACTCCCTGGGGTATGCAGGAACCCCTCTCCTGGGGAATATTCTCTTTTTTATTTATTTTTGGTGGAACCAGGGATTGAACTCAGGCCCTTGCACTTGCCAGGGAAGTGCTTATTCCACTGAGCCATCTCCCCAGCCCCTGGGGAATATTCTCACCCTGATATTCTTAGGGAGGGATGTGAAATTTAGGTTCATTTTATTCAGCCATTTGCTCTGTGCCAAATAAACACATCGATAATAAACCCTAACCTGCTCAAACATTTTTATTGACTTGGATTTCACAGTGTGCACCAGTTCAGGATGTTCAGCATTGGAAAGTCTTATCTTCTTGTTAGGTTGAAGTTTAGGTCACTATTATTTCTTTCTCCCCGGTGTGTCCTGATTCTGCTGTCTCTGGCCTGGAAACTTCTCTAGGAAGAATTTTTGGTCATCTGAAAGCAAATGACTCTTGATTTTCTCAACTGGGTTAAATAAACAGATGAGGCAAGCAATGTGTTGGTTGACTTAAATGAGAATTCCAGCATTGTTTACCTTCAGGTGGAGCTTGATCTAGGGGCTATCTAGGAACCTCAGGGTCTCTCTATCTGTGGGATACTTTCTCCTTGGTGCTGGGTTCAGACCAAGGCTCCATATGCTTTTAAAATGGTTCCTAGAAGCTTCAGGCAGTGCTACACAGGTTCAAGTCCCATGTCCTGTTTCCATGGCAATCCTAGTCAAGGTTTTCCTCTATCTCATTGGCCCTGATTAGGCCATACCTCCAATTAATCCAACTGAGAGCCAATGATAATCCTTGTGGACAGATTAATGCAATGCTCTGATTGGCAGGTGGGGCTGAACCTCATGGACACCGCTGAGCCAGGGTTCGATTCAACCATGGGAGCTGGTGGGAAAAGAAGGGGTGGTTCTGGGCTGGGCCAGTGGCCAGGGTTCCCAGGGAGATGTGAATCCCAGAATGAAGCAGTAGACAGCTGCCCCAGGGAGCACAGGGGGCTGGCGGGGCGAGGGAAAGCGAACTATGCCATGTGCGCATGGCCAAAAGCAGCCAGAAACCTGATTGCTGAGAGACCACTGACACCTGGACCTGCATCCACATCTCTCAGTGTTTCAGGACAGCATGTAATTTTTGAAAGATACTACTAGGTTGGACAAACAGCAATGTGTTCAACATCACAATTACCATATTCTCACCACTATTTTATGACTCAAAATCCTTTTACTTTCTGGTGGGAAATTTTCCTTTAAAAAGAAAATTTCCCCATATTCTATGAATTCCAGGATACTGTTCTTTTAGCCTCCCTTTCCTAGGTTTATTTCACTCAGTCACAGAAAGCATGGCCATCCAAAGTGGGGAGAGCACGGCCAGGGGTCACAGAGGGCTCCAATCTGGCATTTTGGTGACTTGGGGCAACCATCTGCATGTCACTGAGACTCAGCTTCCAATCTGTCAAGTGGGAATAAAAACGCTGACTTCACTGGATGGAGGAAAACACTGGGTGATGTGGTCTGCCGGGACATGAAGGGGTGTGACACACACTGTCTGAAAGGTCATGCCTCTCACCAAGGTGATGTCACTTGAGTCAGTCAGGCACATGCCTGTTGAAGAGACAAAATTCTGCTGGTAGTAAGAAAAGAGTGGCACTAATTTTTTTTTTTTTTACTGGGCTGTGACATGCGAGCTCTAACAGTGCTCACCCTAAGAGCTAGCACAAAGGACTTGCACATTCACTCACACCCCTGGGTGGTCACCGCTGAGATCACAACTCAGAATGTTTCCATGTGACACTTCTAATGAGCTCTTTGTGGGCACAGAGAGCAAGCCAGAGTGAGAGCTGGAATAAAAACAGGCCAATCCTTCCTGAGTACTGAGTCTTTGTCCCTGTCACAAAGGGTGCGGTACAGTGGTCACACAGCAGCACTGGGTGAGGAATACCAACAGCCTAGTAACCTTAAAAATGCCTGTTACTAATAAGCACGCAGTTCCTGTGACAACACCGCACAGCACCGCTTGTAATGATCATACCGATCGTTAGGATCTCTCCCCCCCCCGACCTCCCCACCCTCACCCCCGGTCCAGCTCTCCGCAGCGAGGAGCCCGGAGCCCAGCAATGGGGCTTGTCTATTAATTAAAGGCCACAGTGTGAAGGCAACAAAAATCCACAGTGGTCTCAGGAACAATGGTTTCTAGCAGATGTAATTATGCATTCCTGATTCACTTGCTTTGTCCTTGTTGCCTCCCGTAGCTGTGGAGATTTATAACAAAGATTTACAGTTACTCCTGAGATATGTAAATGTGCACCTCAGCTGCAGTCCACGTTATATGTCTTGTCTCTTTCTATGTGAAGCCTGTTATTCTGTGTCCCCCTTCTTCCCACATTCTTCATCTCCTTTGGCGGGAAGTTTGCTTTCTGGAACTCACACCTGTGTCATGCTCGCACCCTCACGACACTTGCTGATCACCCACAGGACC